TGTTTGAGATTTTAGTACGGTGAAGCATACTGATTATCTGTCTCTTTGCATAAGGAAGTAGCGAATGGGTATATTATATTAGTGTATGCATACATATATTAAAATGTAAATGGTTTATAGTATTGTGTAGGAGTCCGTTATATTTCTCTGTCTTTGTTTTTCGTTGAATCAAAAGACACGACATGTTATTTTTTGTCTTTGAGAGACATGTACGAGATTTTTTTATTATCTGTCATGTTATCATTCTTTCTTTGTTGACAACTTGACAGACTTGGGTCTGCAGCAACATCGTTTAGAGAATGGTGAATATATAGAAGTAATTGATGAGTTTATGGAGGCAGTGTTTACTCGGTGGCCAAATGTTATTGTGCAGGTAACTGATACTTCATAGATCTCTGGTATATCAAATGTTTCTTATTGTGAAACTTTTTAAATATTTTTGTACCCACAGTTTGAGGATTTCCAGAGCAAGTGGGCTTTCAAATTACTGCAGAGGTATAGAAATAGTTATCGGATGTTTAACGACGATGTCCAGGTAATGAGTCTCCTGCATTACTTTGATTCTTGTGAAGATGAATTGCCATTGTTTCTTTTGTAGTACTTATATACGTCGATGTGTTAGTTGACTTTTTCAAGGATTGGGCTTACTATGTTTGAAATAATTAGCTACTGCTATGTTTATAATCTCATATTTCATGTGACCAAGGCCAGCATCTTATCGTTCTATAATCAACATTTTCTGTATGACAGATGCATTAACTAGTGAATAGGAAGGAAACTGAAAATCTCAATACTGATATTAATATATTGGTTTGCCTCTTCATGATCCGGCTTAGGGCACAGCAGGGGTTGCGATCGCTGGTCTTCTTGGAGCAGTTAGAGCTCAGGGGCGACCGATGATTGATTTTCCAAAGATGAAGATCGTTGTTGCTGGCGCTGGAAGGTATGTTCTTGTCTTGTTCTTGTCTATGACCGTTCTCTGTTGCTATGTTCTTGTCTTAACTATTCCTACTACACCCAAGATTTTATTAGTAAAAATGGTGTTGGGCTTATTTCTTATTTATCTATTGGTGGAGCTTTTGTTTTGTGCTTTTAGTATTGTTCGAAGGCATTTAACTGATGTAAACTTCCAGTTGCATCACTGCATTAGTCTAAGTGGATGTGATTGCATTAATGAAAAGAATCATGAAGTAGATAAGAATAGTTATGTCAGAATACTGAGCTTCCGTATAAAAATCTTTGGTTTTTTTTAGTGCTGGAATTGGTGTTCTAAATGCTGCAAGGAAGACAATGGCACGTATGTTGGGAAATACTGAAACTGCGTTTGATAGTGCACAAAGTCAATTTTGGGTGGTTGATGCTCAGGTATGCTATTCCATATTAGTGTAGATGATTTTCCCTGTCTTTTGTGCAATTGCTTGAGAAGATTAAGTTGTTAACTCTTTTTGTTTGCACATAATTAGGGTCTTATCACCGAAGGACGAGATAATATTGACCCAGAGGCTCTGCCATTTGCTAGAAAGACTAAAGAAATGGATCGTCAAGGGTTAAAAGAAGGAGCAAGTCTTGTTGAAGTGGTCTGTGATTCTTTTTATCTACATGTTCATCAAGTATTATAATTCTATGTTGGCAACGAACTCAACAGAAATCCCTGCTTAATACTAGCAAGAAACTAACAGATTTCTGTTTCATCTGGCTAGGTTCGAGAAGTTAAACCTGATGTGCTTCTGGGTTTATCTGCAGTTGGAGGGTTATTCTCAAAAGAGGTAAGCAAAGTTGCCAAAAGCCTATAAATTCAGGAATAAGTATAATCTAGTGCTATGCTACATAATCAGTGATCTAAGCTATGTGGTCTATTAAAAAAAATTCTTCAGTGACCATTGTCTTTCATTATCTGATTTCTATGGTACCTTGCTAGTTAGATGAGCTCATAACTCTTGATGAGGCTTTGGTGCCTCTTGCTTCAATGATTCTGACTTATGAACGTGTTTTAAGGTTTTAGAAGCCATGAAAGGTTCAACCTCGACCAGGCCAGCTATTTTTGCAATGTCAAACCCCACAAAAAATGGTGAAATGTTTTCCCCTTCGTTTGCGCTGAAATGTGTTTCGCGGTTATCTGCGATTCTTTTTCGTAACTGATGTAGTAGTTACTTGTGCTTAAATTTACAGCTGAATGCACAGCTCAAGAGGCATTTTCTATATTAGGCGACAATATCATTTTTGCGAGTGGAAGCCCATTCAAGAATGTTGATCTTGGTATGTATGAGGACCACTACATCATTTATTTCATGCATTTCTCCTATTAATTTAAGCTCTGTTTTGAATCAACGGTTTTAGATACTTGATTTTCTCTTTTGTTTGATATATCAGTACCGTTTCTTGTGGCAGGGAATGGTCATGTAGGACATTGCAACCAGGGAAACAACATGTACCTATTTCCCGGGTTAGTTTTCGCTTATTCATCGTTGCATTACAGTCTTCACTTGATGTAGTAACGGTCATGAAAAAATTAATATTAATATTCTTATCCTGTTAATGTTTTATGTAGTATTGGACTTGGTATTCTTCTATCTGGTACTCCTATAGTCTCGGACGGGATGCTTCAGGCTGCAGCTGAGTGGTATAAGCTCTTTTCTTTACCTAACTGCATTTATCTTTCTTGATTTTAATTTCATCTAGAGCTGAAATGGTATACGGAACAAACTAAACTAATGTTTAATCGATATGGGATCATGACATTGTTTCCGGTTAACAACTGCAGCCTAGCAGCATACATGAGCGAGGAAGAAGTGCTAAAGGGAATTATATATCCTCCAATATCAAGGTAAACGACAAATCAGAAGAACATTCTGACAAGTTTCTTTTAGAAGGAAAGGTTTGATAAGAGATGTTATATTGAAACTGCAGGATACGTGACATAACGAAAAGAATAGCGGCTGCGGTTATTAAGGAAGCGATTGAGGAGGAATTGGCTGGTGGGTATAGAGAAATGGATGCTCGAGAGCTCCAAAAGCTTAGTGAGGTAAGAAAAAAGATGTCGGAAAAATAATGATCAAATTGTAATTCTGCGTATTAAGTAAATATAACTATATAAGAACAAATAGACAAAAAAGAAAGAGAAAAGAAAAAGACATGTGGCTTTGTTTATGTTACGGTTTGGTTATGGTTCGAACTGAGGTGGTAGTTATGCTGACGTGGCGGCCTTGTGTGTTCTGCAGGAGGGACTAATGGAGTATGTGGAAAACAATATGTGGAGTCCAGAGTACCCGACTTTGGTCTACAAAGATGATTAAGGTTTGGTTCCAAAGATGAACAAGCCTGCTTTCTCTTATTTATGTGTGTAAAAAAATAATAATTCGGGTTGTTTTATATCCAATCAGATTCGTAGCTGCTTTTTTTTTATGTAAAATGGAAGAAAAAAATTGGAATTGGGTTGCTTCGTATCCAATCAGATTCATAGTTGCTTACTACTTTCTCTTATTTATATGTAAAATAACTGTTTGGTTACTTCATATCCAATCAGATTCATAGCAGCAACCTCTAAGTTTATACTTCTTATTAGGCTTGGGCATTCGGGTACCCATTCAGGTTCGGGTCGGGTCTTTTTGGATATTGGTTATTACGGTTTTAGATAATGAGCTCCATTCGGGTATTTTTAATTTTTTGTTCGGGTTCGGTTCGGTTTTTGTCGGGTTCGGGTTGGTTTCGGATATCCAATTTCTCTAAAATTTATTTAAAATTTTTTATATAAAATTAGATTTTAAAAATATATTAATATATTTGGTTAAGTTTTGCTAAAAATATTGAATTTTGATATATATAAGTTAAATAATTTGGATATTTTAATTATTTTAATCTAAATATAAAGAATATATTTGATTCATAATTATGATTTTGAGAAATTTAGTTATATTATATCTAAATATAATTAATATATATATCATTATATCTCGGATATTTTGGATATCCGTTCGGTTCGGTTTGGGTACGGTACCGGTTTTTCGGATATAAAGGTAAATACTCCATTCGGATATTTACATCATTTCGGTTCGGTTCGGTACCATAAAATTTGAGTCGGGTTCGGGTGGATTTTTCGGATCCAGTTTTTATGCCCAGACCTACTTCTTATCAATAATGTATAACTCTGTTCAAGTGATTCAAGAAAATATAAAGGAAATAAACTTTAAAGTCTCCCTGTGCAGTTCACATGTTTTTTTTTTTAAAACGACGAATATGGATCTTGTCTTTCTAATACTAGTATCTTTGAGAAAGCTGTCTTAAATGTGAAACTTTCGTTTTCTATAATAAATAACTCTGTTAATGTCTATACAGTGGGAAACAGTGTAAATGTTGAGGAAAAAAAAAGAAAATAAGAACTTTAAAAGTTTCCGTATGTTTTCACATGTCATAATCGATGGATAAGGATCTTGTCTCGATTCTCTAATTTAATATTTTGTTGATAATTGCAAACAGCAAGTATACGTTGGAGGTACGAACATCTGATGCATATCGGAAGAGGCAAGGCTAACTTGAATTATACAAGGCGTGCTTATAGAGTTTTAGGGTTAGATTTGAGGCTTTTTGCTCATCTCAAAACTTAACAAGAGTTTTTTTCTTTCTGTTTTCTAATATGAAACATAATTCATACGGGATATATCTAATTATATTTCAATGTTTATCACAAGTTCCACTGTAGCACAAAGGTTAAAAGTATATCTTAATTGATGTAATTTCTGGGTTCGAAGCCCGGCAGTGGATAATCTTAATTTTTTGTTTTTTTATACAACAAGCCTTTTGTCACATTTGAAAGGAGAATATTGTATAGATGGTTTTAATATTTTAACCACCAAGAGATTTCTCTTGCCTCTGTTTCCTAATGGTGTATATATATATGTATTGATAGGAGAGATGCATTGAGAAGGCAGAACAAACATCTTTAGCTCTCTCTCTCAACATCTTCTCTCTTTGATTATTAACAAAGAGCTTAAGATCAACAAAAAATGACAGTCTCTCACCACGTTCGCTCTAACAGTTTCCCCTCTAAAATTCACCCACAAGCCTAAGCCTCTCATGTCAGGAGCAATTGATCAGTTTGAGAACTTCTGAGGAAGCCTCAACATCTTCTTCTATCTGCAAAAGACTTGACAACATTCAAGCGCTACATGAGTCTCTTGACAAGCTTATCTGTCTTCCTGTCACACAAAAGGCTCTAGCACAAGAGCAGAACAAAAAATCTGTGGAGCAGCTTCTTGATGGGTCTCTAAGGATCTTAGATTTGTGCAACATCTCTAAGGATGCTTTGTCGCAGATGAAAGAGGGTCTATTGGAGATCCAGTCGATTCTGAGAAGAAAGCATTACTTAGCTTCAAGAATATCCCTGAAGAAAACATTCCAAAAGGTTCTCAAGAGTTTGAAGGTCAAACAGGAACATGAGTGCAACGATGAATCTCTTGTTCTGTTTGGAGAAGCAGAAGCTATTACAATGTCCCTTTTTGATTCACTGTTCTGCTTCATGTCTGGATCAATGAATTTTGGCAAATGGTCCATGGTGTCAAAGCTAATGAGCCAGAAAAAGGTCTAGAGTGAAGCGCAAGCAAACGAATTTGCAAGGGTTAATTCAGAATTCCAAACCGAGAAGACGTTAAAGATGGAGGATGCTCAGATCCTAGAGTCATGCATTCAAGATCTTGAAGATGGATTCGAATCTAAGTCTTTGATCAAATACAGAGTCTTTATTCTTAATATCTTAGGCCACTGACTCTAATTTTTTTTTGTATATATGTGAATTTTTTTTTTATAGAAACTAATTCAAGATTTTTCTTATGCTTTTGCGTTGTCCATTATCAATTAGATTCTATCATCATCAAAACACAGAATCAGTCCATAATCATGAAAACAACTATTACTTTAATTAACAAAGCTACCTACCAATGTCTATTACATCCGCTTAAATTTCGCAGTCTAATCTTCTCGCTGTGACAAGTTAAGCTCGAACTTGAATCTACCAAATTTCAATTCTAAGATCCTCATTTTAAGTCCATGTGTGCTTCACTTGTCAAAACAATGAATTAGGATTATTTTTTCTGTATTTAATTCTTGAACCAGCATATACAAAATTGTTCATTACTGTCACATTCATATGACATTAAGGAAGACTATTTTAGAATACAGTCTTTACCTTCATTTTGACTATTTCATGTTAGATTCAAGTGTATATCACGCATCTTGTTTATAGCTTTTCCGAGAAGGTACTTGTCTGTTTTCTGCCAAACGATAATTAATTGGACTACTCAACAGAACCTAATAGGCCAATACCATTCTATCATAATATATATGATTATATCTCACAATTTAACTAAAGTTCCGCTGTAGCACAATGGTTAAAATTACATCTATTCTAATAGCTGTACTTTCCGGGTTCGAAGCCCGGCAGTGGATAATATTTTATTTTGAAATCTACATAATTTACTCTGGTTTTCTGACATGATATATTAATTATGTTTAACAAAAGTTTTACTGTAGCTCAATGGCTAAAACCGCATCTAATAGTTGTAATATCTGGGTTCAGTTCCCGGTAGCAGAATAATTTTCTATCTTAAGTTTCTTATCCAAAACGCAATTCTCACTCCGGTTTTCTTATCCAAAACACAATATATATATATTGTGTTTATCTTGGACCAGATCAGAAACATGATGGGTTTTGTCTTAAGCCTATAAAGTAATAAGCTTTAGTGTTGTTGAAGTGATCTTACCTTCGAATCCAAGAGTCTACGGAGAAGACCCACAAGAACCTTCTCCAACTGCTCGTGCCCCTTCGGATTGCCACTTTCCTAGAAAATAAAAGCAGTGAATTATCTAACGACTTTTTGAAGCAGTTGCAACACGAAATATCCAGTTCAAATCATATCTGAATAAGATACTTGTCAAATCAAGAAAGCGTCCAGCAAGATATACTTCGTATGAGAGGGAATTTATCATCTAAAAGAGGAAGAAGAAATGCTACAATCTGCAGATTTAAGGCAATAGCGTATTGATGTACTTGAACAAATCGGAGAGAAATCACATATGTGAGATGATGTAGATAAAAACCGAACTTTAATAAGAAAAATCAAAGTCACAGGAACAACTAACTGCACCTGATCTCTATCTGGCTGAGACTCATCTTCCTGCAATAGTGAACAGTTTTCATGTAAATATATAATTGACAATGATATTGAGAAACATGACAAAAAACATATAATATCAACAGAAAAAACAACCTCGGCCCAAAAGCGACTCATCGTCATCTGCATAGGCCATGTTTGAGAGAAACACCTAAAACAGATATAATTTACAAAAATTACAAACTACACTTGCTGAGTAAATGATTAAGTGCTCAAAAATATACTGAAGAGGCGGAGAAGCAACACTATACTGGAATTAGGCGTGGCAGTAACTCTTTCAAGTTCTCCTGCCAAACAACAATATAGCTTTGAGGACAATGATGGAATAACCACGAATAGGAGACAGCATAACATTAGAGAAAAACAAGTACTAAACAAGTACTACAGAGAAAACAAAGAGAATAACATTTTACCAAAATTAACAGTGTAAATATCACAACGACATCACAGCAAGCAAGCAGAACTTGGATTACTTGTGGTTATGGTTCAATAATTAAGGTTAAACAAATAAAACAAGAAACAGAGAAGGCAGCTACATACCTTTGACAATGCATCCATCGCGCCATCCATATGATTCAGGTCATTACTGTCTAAACAAGTCACAAGAGCTGGCAAAAGCTCAGGCCATCCAGAGACTCCCTCTATATGAACAATAACACTGATGATAGTTCCAACTGTTGTCCGAATATGTCTGTCCACTGCTCCCAGACAAGGCAGCAACTCCGACTTGATGTACTTCTGGTTATCTTGAGCCATGGACGGATACGCACCTTTCAAATTGTTTTTCAGCAGCAATCCAGCAGCTTGGCGAATCTCAACGGACTTACCCTGATCATCATACCAGGAAACAAATGTTCAGATAGTTTTATAAAAAGCTCAGGCGAGTCCTGTCCATAGTCACAACATGTAAATGAAACTAAATTTGTAAGCAAATGACACACAATGCACTATTCTCTACATAACGTTTTCGTCATTTGGATACAAGTAGTAAGCTTCAAGTCAATTAGGAAACAGAAAAATAAAATCAAAAGCACAAAGGTTATAAACACAGACAAGTGGCAAAGACGAATATGATCAGAAGGTAAGAATATGATAAATTTACTTTGATCTACAATCACATTCAACGAATACGACCCACACAAGGAAACAGCTCATGAACTTTCTTGGGAGCTCGTTTTTTTGTCGTCTCTGGTACTCCAAAAACATTCCAGAACTTGAGAGTCTCATCTCCAGCTGTTGAAGCTATGGTACAATGATGTAAGACTCAAGCCTAGTTCAACTAAACCAGCCAAACAATGGAACCTCGGAGCTAATGATAGTGCAGAACAGCTTGTACCCGTAGAGAAAGGAGGGTTTGTAGCTGTGGATGGAGCAGATAAGGACTTAGCCATCAAACGACATCACTCTATACATCAAGAGGAGCAATTTGGTCGAGCTAAAACCCAGGCCGGTTCCATCTAAATTCAAAGATACAACCATTAAACCGCCGAAGCTATCAAATGAGCTAGTTAAGGAAAGTCAGCCTATATGTTATGAAGATAAATCATGCGACCGACCCTTACTACTTTATGAAGATATGAAGACTCTTAAACCACTCCTGGTTCAGTTCAAGACGTCCCTTAACCAAGAAGACCCGCCAAATCAATCAAAACCAGCAAATAAGCCAAGAGAAGCCTTCACCAGGCCGTTTATGGAAACCACGAATATATGTCCAGTTAAAACATTATATTCGACCCTCCTCACGTCCACAGCAGCTAACAAGATCCATATCACACCAGAGCAAGTCAACAACCGCCCCCTTTCAGCTGAAGTCAAAGAAGATTATTCCAAAGAAAAGTTTTCCATAAAAGAAGATCATCACTTACACCAAAACGAGAATGAAGCTCAAAGACCATCTTTATCTTCTAATCTCGGCCATTCATTCAAAATACAAGATTCATCACGTCCATTCATCATTAAGGAGCCACAGAAATCCCATTATCAGCGCCAAGTCAAGTTATCACCCCCTTTAAAGTCAAACAGCTAAAAGACCTTTCCCACATTATCTAGCTTGGTCTTTGCTTCATGTTTAATGTTTATTACCGTTTGTTTTCCACCTTCTGATCATTATATAAGCTCTTTCATTTGTATTTTCATAATCAAGTTATAATCAAGAAAAGTTTTATTCTGTTTCAAAGAGAATTGTTTTTTGAATCAATATTGTTCCTGCTTATTACTAGTTCTTCAAAAGGAATTCTTAGAACTTGTGAAGAGTGTAGAAACTAGTGTTCTTGTGAAGATTAACCTTTGAACATTATAATCTAAACCCTTTGTGTTTGGGGTTCAAGCACAACTGCCAACCAACCATCTAGCCATTCAACCATCAAAAGCTTCTAAGCAAAGATTTCAAAGGGACAATACTTGAAGTATTTCAAGGATTGTATCATACAACCATCGAGACTCTGAGCCATATACATAAATCTCGATGTATGACCAGTGAGCTCAGCCATTTTGATCATCGATGGTTACTTCCAGAGCGTAAGCTGATTCTCAGAAAACCCATGTGAGCTAAGAAGCTCTCTTTTCTTGCTGCTCCACAACAAAGAACAAACTTCAGAACCGGTGTCTACTGAATTCAAGCAAGCCCCTGTGTGAGTGTTCCAGAACTTTATAGGCCAACCGATTCCAATCATACAATGGAATCGCAAATGTCAAGATAACCGCCTGTGCTTAAAGCCAAACATGTTACGTTATGTACAAGTCCCAGAACCCAAAGTGTCTTGTTAAACAAACAACTTCACACCAGATGCAACACTCAAACGTCCTGACTCACCTAACCTGCTAAAAGAGATCGATAGAGAGAAGAAAGAATGGAGGATGAGTAATTTAGATTACCCATGAGAATGAACCTACATTATTCTATTAATGCACCACAATTTAACAAATACTAAGTTCAAGCCTAAAACAGCACCATAGAATGTTCTAAAGACTTCAAACAATATCCTACGAGAACCAGATGCCAACTCCACTGAGCCCATCTGCGAATGAAGTTATAACTGCACAATCCACTTTTCTTTTTAAGCCGCAGTCGACGACTCGCTCATCAGCCAACTGCCATGGGACACGCTAGTTCCTCGAAAATTAAACGTCGTCAATCCACACGGGAAAACGTGGTACCTTATACCGGCCCGGTAGCGCCAGGTCCCTCAGTACCCCCTCGCATATTGCCCACGTGTCTCAGCGACCATCTTCAAATTCAGTATATTGATTACAGCTCACAGCAATGTAATCTCAACCATCCATCCTGAACCCACACAATAGTCCTCCACTCAAGTTTATTGATCACGGCTCCTCTGCCTTATGATCTCAACTCTCATCTCAGACATTTCACAATCTCAATAATCATCTCTGACAATACCATATTAATTCCATATCCTCTTTACAAGTACTAGGCGATCACACAAGAGAACCAAACAACAATCAAGCAATCAAAGCGTTTCAAACATAAGTAACATTCGTTTTAATATCCTGCAACTTCAGTTACAAAACCCTAACACACCTAAGCGATTCATATATCATACATCATCCTATCAAGACCTAATTGGGACTCAGTTCTAAAGCAGAAAATAGTTTATGTTTGGTTTAACCCCAAACTATGCATTACGAAAAGCAGGACACACAACGGTTTAACACAGATTCATCTTCACCTTGGACTCAATAGCAGAACGGTTTGGGGGAGAAGAAGAAGGGAACTCGCGGCGTAAACATCATGGTGATTGGAGATGACAAATCCAAGCAGTAGCTGAACATGCATGGTTGGAGGGCTTCAAACGCATCACCTGAATCGCAGTGGCTCGTCGGAACACCATGGTGGCGCCAAGGAGAGATGGGAACGTCCAAGGAAAGGGGATAGAGAAAGAAGGCGGCAGAGAAGGAGCAAAACGTCCAAAGGGAAGAGGAGAGAGAGAGATTAGAGTTTCTCTGCTTCTTTAGAACTTTTAGAATGAAAAAATGAATGAGGAAGACTCTCTATTTATACCTAATGGGAGACTTGGGCAGGAAGTATAAATAACCACAAAAAAAGAATGATATTTATGAGAAAATGATAATTACAAATCCTTTTAGGAATAAATTCATTAATATCAAACTAAAAATGTAATATTATCTCGAAACAGAAAATATTTATCTCTCGAAAGAAAAATGAAATATCGAAAAATGGAAATTGAGCTTTAAACCATTTCAGTTCGAGATTGAAATTCAAACGGACCTGATTTGAAAAATCGGATTGTTACATTCTCCACCACCACCAATGGCAAGCAAACTGCTATGAAAAGGACACCATGCAAGAGCTTTAACCACAGATGTATGTCCTCTGAGCCTGTGCAGCCAATGCTCATCCCTGGAACGATCCCATATATGGACCACATTGTTGTTGCCACCACTAGCTAGCTTCTGACCAAATCCTGACCACTTGAGACCATAAATCTCTCGAGTGTGACCCTTGTAAGTTCCCACAACGTGTGAGCTGATCTGCACATCATTGTTGATTATATGTCCATCCAATCCTCTTATTGTCAGGATGTCATTGTTCTGCGCCAATGATCCTACTATGTCGTGGTGGAAATCTTCTAACGTTTTCACTAGAACTTTGGCTACAGAATCCCAAAGCTGCACTTGGCTGTTGTTGAGCCCAACTGCCACGTGGAAGCATCCATGAGCCAAACAGTGCCTCCCAACGCTATGGCTAAAACACAGAGCCGTGCCTATGAACAAAGATTTGAAACATTGGCTTAGGAGTTTTTTTTTTAAATGTAAATTGAAGGGGGATAAATTCAAAAAATATTATTTGTTATGCTTCACTGATAATAATATTTCTTGTTGAGTTTTTCTAACTTAAATCTAGACCATTACTACTACTAGGTTTTTCATTCGCGCTACGCGCGAATATATATTATAAATTATTTAATATATATTTTGATTAAATAATTTTTATATAACATTTTATACAATAGTAATTTTTTCATATAATGTTTGCTTATTAAAAATATTTAGTATTTTTTCTGTAGTTAATTGTTTTTAAAACTTTATGATTATTTTGTAAAGTTTTGGCTAATATGTGTTGTATATTATGAATTCATCACAAAATAATTAATTGTTTTATCTATTGTTTGTTCAAAAATAATTAACCAATTCAAATAGGATATTGTATTCAATTTTTTTTTAAAATATTAAAAAACTAATTTCTTTTTAAAATTTATTACTCGTAACAACTTGGGTTACTAATAGATAAATTACACAAATATATTTTATTTTAAAATGTTTTACAACTTTTAAGTTAAAACATTAATTCTTTTTTTTACTTATTATTTAATATTTGTGATCACCGAGAATACATTCATTTTTTGACTATTTTTCTTTCTTTTTATTTTATTTACTATTTTAAATTAATTATTTAATAATATTTTAAATATGAATTAATTTTGTTAATTCGTGTACTGTTAGCTTGAACATCAATTAAAATGAGTTCAACTATTTATACTTCTGTTTGAAACAAAATCAACAAATAAAAGTCGATCAATTTTTTAATACTTAATATATTGAAATACACGAAATTTGGATACCAAAATCTAATTGAAATTGTATTTTATCATGCCAATATATAGTTTGGATCAATTTTTTGTAACAAAAGTATATTCATTTTTGTAAATGCTACAAAAATAACATAAAATTGTTCACATCATAATTTTTGTCATTATAGTTCTTTTTATAAGAATATGCATATATCTAATTTTAAAAATATTTTTATCAGATTGTAATTTAATATACCAAAAAGCCACATGAAAGTATAAAAAATAATCAAATTCTGTTTAATAAACATAATATTGATATGAAAATATTCAATAATTTTAATTCTTCTAATAAAAAAAAATAACTTTTGTCATCATCTTTAGCTTCATTCTTGTTATGTATTGGTTGTTTTAAGTCATATATAAATATTGTTGCCTTCAAATAGTTTTGATTTTTATAAGTAATAGGTATAATGTGTTTTTTAAACAATTAATCTCTGTAATAACTTATAACAAACAACAGTGATAAAATTATTATATTATAATAAATAAAGTGTCTTTTAAACATGAATTTATTTCTATTATATGTAAAAACATTTTATTATTAATTTTAGTTGGTTTTTATATAATTGAAAGTGTTATTTTTAATTAATAAGTTTTTTTAATCTTATATTAAGCTGATTTTTTATTCTACGTGATCTGTTTATCTTTATATATTTTGTTGGTTGGTATAATTGAAATTTGAAATTTTTTTAATCAGTCAAAAAATAAAATAATTAATATTAAAATATAATTAATTACAGAAAATGATGTGGACCAATGAAATTTTCTTATAATTTATATGATTTTTATAATCTAATAAATGTTAATTTTCTTTTTATTGTTAATAGAAAACAATATATTTATTGTTAAATTTGTTTTATTAATAATTATCTAAAACTTTTGAAACTTTCCTAAAAATTTCAAAAATTAAATTAATTAAAATTTAGAAAATTTACCAATACATATAAAAATTAAATTAAATTGTTTTAGTATATGTAATTAAATATAGATGATGATGTGTACCAATAGAATTGAATCTTTTTAATTCTATCTGGACATTCTTAGATGCCTATAACATCAACTTATATTTTATTAGTTAGTATAGTATTAGAATTTTGAAATTTTCTTAATAAGTCAAAAAATAAAATAATTATTTAAAAATACAATTAATTAGAGAAAATAATGTGGACCAATTAAATGAAGTTTTTTATTTATAATTTACTAGGTTTATAACTCGTGCTACGCACGAGTCTATATTAATAGTTAAGTTTAATTCCTTTTTGAGCTGCTATCTTTTAAATTATCAAAAGTATAATAGATTTATAAAAAAATCTTCTCTATAAGAGAATTTTAAAATATAATATGTAGTTTAATCCTATTTTTATTTATAAACTTTTAAATCTTATTAAATGAAATAATAACAATGACACATATCGAATTATCCGTTTGATTTAGAGAAAGGTTTTCTTGCTAAGATCTTTGTAATTTGTTCTATTTTTCATAAGAATTCTACACTTCTTTTTCTTTGAAGTTTATGTGTATAAATATTTAGTTTTTTTTATTGAATGTCTTATTGATGTTGTGTACATATGCATATATAATCAATGATTCATGTTGATACGCATTTACTTTTGTTAGAAGCTACAATGATCATGCAAAGCCGTTTCTTTCTTCTACACCAGGTCATCCATGAGTTTTATCTTATATCGTTATTCAGTTTTTATTGAGATCTATTTTTTGCAGTCTAATATATGATAATTTTAATTTTTATACTTGTAGGATCAAGGGTCCAGTCTTCACATTATTTTTTTACTGTTTTTGTCTTTTGTGTGCAATCTGCATGCTTTGATTTGAATATTTTATCTACATATACTGATTTGAGTTTGAATCATAACTCCCTCATACTTTTTTTATATAAATAGAATTTTAGAATGTGTTATTAATGTTGGTTCAGATATAAGTAGTGAATATGTATAGAACTCAGATTTTATTACTTGTTATGAATATAAAGTTATTTATGTAGTGTTTTTCTTTATTAGTTTTTATAATCAGAAACACCCAGTGTATTAATCACTGTATATTTTACTCCTGTAAACATATTGCAATTTTAGATAGTTATTTACTGTTGAAATCAATACTTTAAAAATAATGATTTTTTTCAAATTAATTTTAATATAATTTAGTTATAATTTTTTATATATGCTTTACATTTTTATACTAATTTTATATTATTTTAACTTATACAATTTGTTTTTGTATGTTTGATATACTTAGGACTTATATTTGTTTTTATTAAGCTCTTTTGTTGTTAATTAACAAAATAGGTAGCATATACATCAAGTTAATTTCTTTTATAAAAATGTTTTTTCTTTGTTAAATTTGTTTTTATATTAATTTTCATTTTAGTTATAATGCTCATTTGACATGTTTTAACTGTTCAATTTAAATTTTATATAAACTTCTCTCAAAATCTTATAACATCATTATTCTTTTTAATTAAGTTTTTTATGTTGTTTTCTAAAAACTGTTAGTCCAAATATCAAGTTAGTTTTCTTTTATTCAAATTTGTTTTTTTTTTATTAATTTGCCTCTTTTGATAATGGTTCCTATTTTATTTGAAACATAATTTCATAACATGTTGAAAGCTAAAAAAACTTTTTATAAAAACATGTTTAATTTCTCATCATATCATAATAGCCTTAAAATAATTTGGTTTGATATCTCAAAAATTCACAAAAGAGAATTAAAGTATGGTGAGGTTTATGCATGTGAATGTTTTACCATGCCAAATTAATAGTCAGTAGCTGCTTGAATATCTTTGTCGGAAAAAACCGGGTGGAAGAAGTGGATTTCAAACATAATACCTCTACATGATGCAATTTAAAGTATGACATTAAGAGTTAAATAGATTTTATCATCTAATTTAAATCAGGATTCATTCTATTTTCATAAAGAATAGCAAAAAAATGATAATTACTTTTTTTAATTATATAGTATAGAATTAAATTTTAGTTTTTAAATCATATTTAGTATTTTTGGTTTAATAAATATGCTAGTTTGTATCAATGAAATCAAGCTTACCTTTTTTTAATATAGATTGTTCAATTTTTATATATAACTTTCTAATGTTTTAATCATATTTAACATTTTTTGGTTTAATAAAAAACGTTGATGTGTACCAATCGAATCAAGTTTCTTAATCCTAATCATATTTAACATTTATCTATTAGTAACCCAAGTTGTTATCATTAATAAATTTGTTTTAAAAAAAATACTTGAAAAAAACTTGATACAATTTCCTATTTAAATTGGTTGTTATTTTTTTTTTAAACAATAGGTATAACAAATAGTTATTTTATGATAAATTCATAATATAAAACACATATTAGCCAAAATTTTAAAAATAATCATAATTGTTTTAAAAAATTAACTCCAGAAAAAAAACTAAATAATTTTTTTTAACCAAACATTATATAAAAAAATTTACTATTGTATTTTAAGTAATGTGAAAATTATTGCATGAGTGAAAAACCTGGTTAATAAAAATTTAGAAACTTTTCTAATAGTAATAAAAATATAATTAATTAATTTTTTATATATAAACAAAAAATAAAATTAATTAAAATTTAGAAACTTTCCTAATAGAAATAAAAACGAAATTAATTATTTTTTATATAATTACATATAAATGATGATGTGTACCAATACAATTGGATCTTTTAAATCCTATGTGGACACCCTTAGAAGCATTTAGCATCAACTTTTATTAGTAATAGATATGATTTTTTATAATCTAATAATATGTTAATTTCCTTTTAATTGTTAATAGGAAAAATATATTTATTGTTAAACTTGTTTTTATTAATTATTATTTAAAAATTTAGAAATTTTCTTAATAAAAACAAAAACAAAATTAATTAAAATTTCGAAACTTTACTAATAACAATAAACACAAAATTATATTAATTTTACTATATTTAATTAACTATAGATGACGATGTGTACCAATAGAGTTTAACCTCTTAAATTCTATATAAACAATCTTAGAGGTATTTAACATCAACTTTTATTAGTAATAGATTCGTAAGACTTTTTTTTATAATTATTTAAAACTCAGTTGACTACATTATAAATATTAAAAAATTTGAATTC